TTCCTGGGGTGCTGTCAGGTCAGGTATGCGAGTGCGTGTTTGGAGCTTGCAGGCTATGGCCTGGGCTCTGGCTTGCTGATGACGACAGGCAGAGGGACTCTGACAGCCGGCACTTGGTGCCTCCAGGGGAGGCACCTACGATTCTAAGATTACAAGCCACAAGCAGAAGGATGCAGACTCAGCACCTTACTTGGGTCAGGGAAAGAACAAGTCGGCTCCAGACTCACAGAGCAGCGATAATTGCTCTTCTTCACAGTGGACAGACGCGGTCACATGTCATTTAGAGGGATGTGCAGCATGTCTCCTGTGTCTTGCTGCTCCCCCATTGCTAAAGTTAATGGAATCCTCACACCATTTCCCTCTTTGGCTCGTGGGTTGGACACGATTGTGGTACAATGAACATTTTTTTTTTCAAAGAAGCTATGTTACTGATACACATTAACCACATTATATATTTTATATGCAGCCTAAGACAATTCCTTTCCACTCAGTGCAGCCAGGCAATGAGCAATCGAGGCATGTACCGCCCATGGACCCCAGGCTGGACACATCACGCCTTTCTCTAAGCCCATGACTGCCAACTCTTTCTTTTTCAGGACAATCTAGACTACAAGTTCTATGACATGCAATTGTTCTATTACTCTTCTATATTTTTCCTTCTTTTAGGCCCATTTTCTTTTCTGATTTGCCCAGAAAACTAAGTGAAGTTGCTGGTGGACTTTCCTTAAATTTATTCGTCTGGAAATGAGGGTCATATTTGAGGGGGAAAAACTCCGAAATGAAAGATCCCTCCCATGGCGAGAGAGAGTTCGAGATAATTAAGAGCAATTCTGCAGTGTCACAGAAGGACGATCTTCAATTTTGGCCAAGAAATATAGTGATGGCTATGTTTTCTTTCATTTCTTAGAGACAAACTCCATGGAGCAACCAGCATACACTTATGGGAGCTAATCTCTTCCCGGGAGCAGGGACTGGTCTCAACCCTGCCATGGTCCCTTGGGAGTTGTGCCTGAGAAATGACTCTTGTGTTTGTGTGTGGGTCATTTTAGAGCTCATCTCCCCTTCCCAGCCTCCACTGAGTATCCACCCAGGTCCCCAGTTGATGGTCTGGTCAGATGGCTCAGACTGATGTGGGGACACCAGACACCTGAGCTCTCCTGCTACCCTAGGAACTGCTCTTCAAAGAACTTGCTGCAGAGTCTCCCTTTGCTGTCTGGAGAGGGAAAAAAGTTTATTTTGCTCCTGTCCTTATCTCTCTCTTACGGAAACTGTTCCACAGTACAGGTTGTTCACCTGGTGCCTTTCTCATCATCGGTAAGGTATGTATTGGTATTTGGGGTGTAAAGCTGACTCAGGCACTAGTCTCCAACACCTAATCTCTGAGGCCAAACAATTCAGAGGACCTGTCTGATGAACCCTTGTGAGGGTTTTAGCTAATTAAGGCACTCTGTGTGCCCTTCTCTTGAGGTGACTTGGATAAATCCTGAGAAAATTAAGGATTGAAGCTGAAGAAACAGAAAGTACAGGTGTGTTCTGGAGGCTGTCTTCATGGATGAGATCTACCTGCATTTCTGCTGGATGTGCACCAGGGCTGCCCCAGGGGCTGCTGGGAAGGTTCAACCTCTTCCTTCCATTTTTACCATTTTACCTTTGAGTATCTGCTTGTGTCCTGCGGTGTGTGTGAGTTGGGGGCGGGAGGGGGAGATCCAGGAAATGGGACTCCAGATGGTACTGGGTATTCCTGAGCAGGAAGAGATGGAGCTTGCATTGCGGTGACTCCATTAACCAGCTGTGTAACTGGGCACACATTTCCTTTCCTAGAGCCCTAGTTTGCTCATCTGCAAAATGAGGGGGTGGGGCTGGCTCATCTCTAAAGTGTTTTTTCCATTTGAAGTCTCTCAATCTGCAGTTACTTCCTCTTCTTTGACAACAGCCAGCCTCTACTAGAATTCTGTTTACTTGAAAAATTTTGATGGTGGCATAAACTTTGAGCTGTGCTGGGTTGGAATCTAGCAGATGTCCCTGGCTGGAATGAGGGACAGCTGTGAACGTAAGACGTCAACTGATGTTCAGATTCAGGAAAACTGTGTGGGTTTAACAAGCACCTTGATAAGAATTAGAAAACAGCATCCCCTCCAGGTGGGTTCAGCTGCAAGTGGGGTGGGTCCATGGCCTAGCAGGTGGAATCTTGGCACTTTTAGCCCCTTGAGCTCCCAGGAGTAGTTGTGCAATGAACAACCAGCATACATGGGTATTAGCACAGCAGTGGCTTCTTAGGGTGCTGACCAGAGCAGATGCTTATCACCGATCTGATGGAAGGAACCTTGGATCATTACTGTCTTAAAATATTTTAAGCGATTGAAAAGCTGCAAGTGTGAGCTTCTGATGCTGTCCAGATCCTACACACACACAGCCCATCTGAGATGGGTAGCTTTAAGAGGTAAGATTAGTAACAATAATAAAACCCTTTACATTTTCATAGAGCCTCACAATTTATGTAGCACATTAAGTGTACTTTCTTTTTCAATGGGGTTCTGATTCTAACCACTGCCCTGATGAATAATAATTATACTCATTTTAAATATGACGGAAATGAAACTGATAGCTTCAAAGATTTGTTCAAGGGCAGGTAATAAGTGGTCAAGCCAGCAACTGAATCCACATCTGCCTAGCTCCAGATTTAAGGTTTTTCCCCATTCATGTCGCATAAGATCCTAATCAGGATGTTGGCAGCCAGACCCAAAGAATTTTGTAAGATCTGTCCAAGCAGGCCATCCTCCTTGCTATAATGAAAGCAGGACTCTCCCTCACAGGTGTAGTGACTATAAAGATTTGGGTATGAGTTCTGGAGAGGTCTTGGCAGATCTTATAACTGAGCTAATATGTTCACTTTTCAGCTGATTCCTGAGGAGTCACTCATTTAGTTAAACACAACTGTACTAACTGTATGCCATTACCCCAGAATTCTCTTCACCATTTTAGGAATTATCCTGCCAGGCATCTTAGGAAAGCCTGGAAGGTAGGGAGAGTTATTCCTCCATCTGATATGAAAATAATGCCAGTAGGGGCCACTACTGAGAGTGTCCAGCTTCTTCAGGGTTCACATGGCCTCACTGACAGTGCCATCACAAGCCTCTTTGGCTGTTTTCAAGACTCTTCTGCACAGCTGCTAGGACAACTTAATTGGAGTTGCCTCGACCTTTGCCTGGGCTCCAGACTTGCATACCCAGGCATCTACTTTCCACGTCCCCAAGACACCTCTGGGGCTATAACCAATTTAAATACGACTAAAGAGCTAGTTGCTACCTTTCCCCACCATCTGCTCCCCAGACATCCTCTTCTAGCTTTTATGATTTCCATGAATGGCACTGGATAGCCACCCTCTCTCTCACTCATTCCTCCCTCCCTGCACTCCCTTGGTCACTAGACACTGTGGGTTCTACTTCCCAAGCACCACTAAACTCCATTCCTTCCATCAGTTCCTATTCAAACTGTCTTCAGGGAGGTCCTCATTATCTACTTCTTGTCTCTCCAAGCCAGCCCCCATTAATTCTTTGTCTAAACACAGGCCTTGATAAGGATTAGACTATATCTTTTCCCCAATTAAAAAATAAAAATGATCCAGTGTGGTGGCACATGCCTGTAATTCTAGCACAAAGGAAGCTGAGGCAGGAGGACTGTGAGTTTGAGGACAGCCTGGAATACATAGCAAGTTCAAGGCCAGACTGGACTACATATAGAGATGCTGTCTCAAGAAAAAAAGCAAATAAATAGTGGCTTCCCACTGCTTCAGGAGAGAGTGCACCTTTGATGGAGTAGTATCACCATTCCTACTAAATGTTGTTCTTTCAACTTGCTATGTTACCTTTGACCAAAACACCATTTCTCTGGGAAATCCTACTCAGTGGTAAGACAACATTCATGTCATACATCACTGTTGAGGTGTTGGCTTCCCAGGTGACTCCTGGGGAAGGAATTCCTGCCCCTCCTTTATATGCCTTTACTGCTATTCTCAACTGTAGTTTGTTTCTGTAGGTCTCTATCTGCCAGACTAGGGCTCCTTAAAAATGGAAATTCTCAATACTATGTTCAGATTCCAAGGCCCTAGCATGTTGGCCAATGCACAGTAGGTACAGTAATGCTGAATGAATGGATGGGGTGGATGTACCTCCCTCTTTGATAAAATCAACAACATAGTTTGTTGAGTATCCCTTATGCTCTTGAGTTTAGTCTGGAGAGAAAAGGGCAGAAGTCATCTTTTCACACTACAGGCTGAAGACTGACAATGTACAAAGGCCAGAAAAATACTTGTTTTGCAATTCACCTCTTTCCTAAAACTGCATCTGGGGAGGTGGAATGTTAGACTCAAAGAAGGACTTGATGGGATTTTTCCTACGTAGCTGCTTTTGCAGCCCAGCACTGGGGCAAAGGACAGTCCCATCCAACTAAGTGGTTGACAGAACTGAATTAGCTTAAAGGCCAGTAAGACTCTTGTGAAATCCTTCAGGTAGAAGTTGCAGGCCATTTGCAAAAGGGGTAGGTACAGACGCATCAATGCTATCTTTAGGTTTTGTTCTTTGCAACTCAAGGTTCTTCCATTAACCAGCAGGACCTCGAATGAGGAGGCTTCTTAGGAACCTGAGTGAAGAGTACGCCTTGCCTCCCACTCCTCACCCCGCCCCAGCCAGGGGGCACAGCTGCAGTCAGCAAGCATGTGGCTGCTGGTGAGGTCTGTTCAATTAAGCCAGCTTCTGGCCTCTGTTTCAGTTTCCCTTTCAATTAGGCAGGGCTGGTGTTCACTCCAGCTACTATCCATCCTTAACTGTGTCATTATACAAAGTAGTCCACTAAGCGCTTCGGAATCCTGAGGCAACAGGTCCTATTATGTCCCCCATTCTACCCTCACAGGTGGCAGAAGGTCCGATGGTGGAGCCATGTAAAAAGTCAACAATGTTGGGAGATTGTGTCACAAAGTCCCCCAAAGACTCAGAAAAGCTCACAGGTCTCTCCACTCTTGGCTCCAGGACACATTTTCCTCAGACCACTTTCTTGGCCTTATTGAGTGGTTGGCACCACCTAGGAGGATTAAGGAAACACTCCAGTCCAGTATGTTTTCTGGAGGGTCACAGCCTCGGCTTTCACAAGACAGTGGGTCTATCTGTCTCTCCAAGCTGTTCCTATGGGCAGCTGTGGTCAAGTGGAGTGAGAGCACTCCACACTCCCGAGGAGCCCATGTGGCCTCAGCCCAGAAGCAGATGGGGGACTGCCCGGAACCCCCACAGGAGGGATGCAAGTAGAACCAATGTCCTGATCCAGCCAAGGTTTTTAGAAGTAGCCCTTCCCTTTCCCCTCTCTGTAGGGCAGTCTCCTCTTTCTAAAACTGAAAGAAGTGAGTGGGAAGTCCCTTTCCCAACAGAGGGCAGCGTAAGATGTTACTTGGAAAAAAAATACAAGGCAACAACACAAAGTCTTGCAACTCACCTTCGGGTTCTGGGAAGGGCTTCCAGGCGGCGCGGTGGCCTGGGGATCCGCGGGTGCCGGCTCGGGTGACCTGACTCGGGGGTGGGCGGGGTCGTGGCCGCGACCAGTCGGCGCTGGGCGCCCCCAGGAGGTCGGCGAGTACCTGGGACTCAGCGGGGCTCGCTGCAGCCGCGTCCCGTCCTGCTCTGCGGGTCACAGGCGCGATTTCCTGGAGGTGAAACGCCTCGCCGTCCCTCCCGCTCCCTTGCCAGCCTGGCCCAAGCCTTCCACCCGGAGCAGATCGTCCCGCGCCCCTGACTCGGGTGCACACGCCCCAGCCGCGCCCGCCGCGCCTTCCCGCCAGTCCCCACCCCGCGCCGTGACGCCTCCTGCCCTCGGTGCCCGCCCGGAGGAGCGCGCCTCCTTCAGGACAGCCGCCTCCCCCGCGGGCGCGCCGGGCTCCGGGACAGTGGGAGGTCGGGTGGACTAGGACTCCAGGCCCTGACTGGACGGACAAGCAAGACAGGCCCCGGGGACCCTGCTCCCTAAGGCGCGCTTGCAGCACCCTGCCGAAGGCGCTAAGGAAACTGCGCCCCGGAGTGGCAGAGGCAGAGACGGATGGAAAGGCTGTGCTCAGCGAGCTCTAGGGGTGCTTTCCTCTTAGACCTAGCTACTCTCCCATTTACTTCTTACTCAGATCTCTTGGGGACTAATTTCCGGCAACTGAAACGCTGGCGGAGGAAAAGGCCGGTGCCATAGCTGGGTGCGGGTTTGCAGACGCAACTCTGAGGACCCAGGGCAGCTGCTCCAAGCTTTCTGTGGGTCCGGAGGAAGCTGGTTGTGGGACAACCAGGGCTTTCCCAGAGCGTCTTGGAAGATCTTTCCATGGTGTAGATGTAAGAATCTGCTCTTGGTTCGATTGCCAGTTGCCCAAGTACCAGGTGCCCACATACTAAGCTGGGGCTGAGTATCTCATGGCTGCATGGGCAGTGATATCCACTGGGCCCTGTGTGGGGGCGTTACAATGACTAGTGCGACCAACTGTTACAAACTAGCAAAAAAGAATCCTTTCTGTTTATGCAGGAAACACCAAATGGTTCTGAGTTGAAAAGCTAAAGAGAAAACTGCTTCCTAGTCAGAAATGCCAAGGAGATTTAGGGAAAGAGAAACCACCCAACCAACCAAACAAAATCAAAACCCCTCTAACTAGTATTCTTTCAAAGGTAGATTAGAGGAAATCTGAGAAATATAGGTTGAGAGAACTCAATCTAGATTTGAATTAGAAGAAAGGGGAAAGGAGTCCCCCAATATGGTCAGCATAGCCAGTAGTCAGGTAGGGAGTCTCAGAGCCTGGATGTGGGTTGAAGCAATTTGTGTGGCAGATCTAGGGGCCTTCCTCAGTAGGTGTGCAACCAGGTAGGTAGAGTAGGTAAGGCTAGTCTGCAATGACAGCTTGACTTACAATTATCTATGTAGAGCTGGTTCCTCTATACATATAGAACTCCAGAAGCCTGAATCTGGACTTAGAGTCTATCAGAGCATGGAGGGAGACCAGCCTGAACCTGGGACTGGGAGTGGGGATGACCAGAGGGCTTGAATGCAGACTTAAGATTAGCGAAAGCAATCTCCTTCCTCCTGAAGCTTTACCTGCAAGATAGCATTCAGTCTTGCACATTTACAAAATACAAAATACAAAACACAACATTGTTCTCCTTTCCCTGAGGTAAAGAGGAAAGTAGCTTCCTCAAGGCCACAGCTATGAAATGGGGAGCTCAGATTTAAGTGTTCCTGACCTCACAATCCATCCTTAACCACCATTTCATCCAGATGATGAGAAAGTAGCCTATGTGAGGGAATTTCACTCCAGGGCAGGGTGATGCACAGGCCTGAAATGATGCTTACTGCTTGACTCCTACAGAAAACACTTTCCTCGGTGGTATTCCAGGTTGCTCTTAAAGGAAAATAGGGAGAAACTGAGGCAAGTAGCTTGAGCATAGAGCTTTATACATGTGGCTGTCAGTGAGAAGGAAAACCTTAGGCTTCTCCATGAAGTGGAACCTCTGTACTTTCTCAGTTCATGAGGAGCAAAGTCTAGGATGAGAGCCAGTAGCTTCCATGGCAGACAAATCAGGGACACACAGTTAGGCAAGATGGTGGATTTGCTAACACTGGATCACCAAGGCTTCAAAGGATTTTGAGGCAGTTACTTTACCAGGAGGATGTACTATGGTAGAAGAAAAGGGGTGGGCAACAGGCCAGCATGTCCTCATTCTGGACAGATGATGCATCCTTTATGAAAAAGCAGGTTTGAGCATCCACCTACTATTTTTATTCTGTTGGCAGTGAAATTCCAACTCCTATGAACTCATACATGGCCCTAGGCAACCACAATGCTGTTACATCATGCCTAATCCTTATTATTTTTCTTGTTTTCAGCAAGGATATTTGAAGGTGATCAATAGGTTAGTGGGCTCTAAATGGAGTGACACAGAGCATTAGAAACTAATTAAGAAAATTCCAAAATAGCAGATTGGTGGGCCAAAACTGGAAATTCAAGTTCAACTTTTTTGAGTGACCCTTACAACATTAATGTTTATGACCTCTGGTTTCCCATCAGTGTGTTTTGGACAAGTAGTGTTGCCACTCTCTCCACTGTGAAAATCCATGGAGAATTAGGTACTGACCTTGAGCTACTTTGAATGCTTAGACTGACTACATTTGCTTTGTTTTCTTGTTGATACCCCACTTTACAGAGGTGGATGGCGGCTTTGGCCAATGTGGACCACTTACATAAATCCACTGGTGGGAGGCAGTTCCCATCAGTTTACTAAGTCCAAGTTTAAGACAAGGGGCTTCATCCAGGACAGCACTGCACCTTTGTCAAGCGTGGGAAATATTCCACTGAGGACATAGTCTTAGTCTTATCTAAATCTGTGAAATATTCTTGCCTGGAGCATGGTATAAGGGCTAAAGCAGGGATAGAGAAAGTCCCTGAAGAACAACCAGGATGATGAGAAATCAGAAGGCTGCTGGCAAGGCGAAGGCTGTTAGCAGAAGATGATGAGACTATAAATGGTGTGGATAAGATGCGCAGAGACTTGTTCATCAGATCCTGAAATATAGCACTGTCTGAGAACAGTGAGGCAAGTTCAGGACAAGTCAGTGGAAAGAGTATTTCATGCAGCAGGTAATGAATTGATGGAATGGATTGTCTCCCAAAAGTGGTGCAACTGGTAATGCAAATGGATTCCACAGGGTTAGGACAAAATGTAAATGGCAGAGCTATAGCAGAGAGCTGCAGGAGATGAGGAATGTTCCACATGGTTAGGTATCCAGGAAGACCCAAAGGATCCTTACACAGTATCTGCCCCAAGGTCTGTGTGGATGACAGAATCCTGACCTTCCTGGCCAGAAGAGATCCTTTGACCATGAAATGGTAGAAAAATAGACTGGGGCAAATATTGCCAACACACACACTCATGCACAGGCAAAGCTTTATGGGGTGGGGCAGAGAGGCTTCAGCCGAATAGGGGCTTTGGCTGGAGGGAGGCAGCGTTGATCTGCAGAGTGATCAAGTTGCTGCTTCCAGAACAAATAGAGCAAGGCTTTACTGATTTCTTGAGGGTGCACTAAAGTCTGATCATTTTCATTAGCCAAAGGCTTGGTTCCAAAAGATATTTCTTTTGGTGACAGACTTGAGCTATGTGGCAGTCATGGTCAACTCAGATTTCCTTGTGTTTGGCACCATCAGCCTATGCTTGGTGGGTGAACAGGTGGTCAGCTTGGCTCAGGAGCTGCTGCTTTGCTCTTACAGGTTGTGGCACAACTCTGCATGAACGTCTTGGTTTTATGGTAGGACTGAAGGGTTTTAAGCACTTGAGCTGCTGAAAAAAGCCCAGGGATATGGAAGAAGAAGCAGCACTAGATCCTATGGGTGATTGCCAAGTTAACCCTGTATCATGAGCTGAGTAGTCTTTGACCCAAGGATTAATTAGCAAAGGGGATAGGCAACATGGAGCAAGGAAGCCCAGGCTTTTATTTCTATTTTAGTCTCCCACCTGATATCTGTGAACCCATTCAAGAACTCAGTGTTCTCAGAAAAAGTGGACTTCTGGTCTCTGAGGTGTAACCCAGCCAAATGTGATCATAGGTCGCACTCCTGTACTGCTTGGCCATGTGACCTTCAAAATTAGTGATTTCAAGTTGATGTAGGATAAGTGAAACCAGAGGGCTTAAGATCTTTTCTTCGTAATCATTTCTTGCTCCATGCAAATATTCAGCTTCTGTGGCTTAATCAGAGTCTTATGATGGGTTTGTTAAAACAGGCCATGCTACAAAGGGTAATAATTTATTGTGTAGCAGACCCAGAGTGCCCGCCGGCGAGTGAGTGAGACAACCCAGGCCCCGGGGTCCTGAAGAGACCCAGAGCGCAGGCCCGGTGGGTTACCACTGCAAGCCCTACAACAACCCTGCAGACTTCTTTCTAGATGTAGTATGTGCAGACTCCTCTGTTGTATTAAACAGAGAGAGAGAGGACTGTGGAGACCTGGCTGATGTAGGCCAGAAACAGGGAGAAGGCTCTGGAGACTCCAGGCTTCACTAAACAGAGAAGAAGAAGGCTATGAAGCTGAAGAGAGAGGAAGACTAGCTGAGCTTTATGCCAACTCCTCCCTATACAGAACAGTAGAAGGTAAATTAGATCAACTCTCAGGAGGTCAGAGGAGGAGCTTGGCCTTCAGAATCACCCATACCACCTCTTTCTGGCATCCGCTTAGATGGATTATCAAACGTTCATTCAAAAACTTGCTGGGTTATCCACGAGTCACTATAATTCAGGATTGAAAGAAGAGCTAGAGGACTTCTTCATCATGTTTTTTACTGTTATGCTGGTGACTTACACAGCCAGTTCCATGGCACTGGCCATATCAATAGGTCCAAGTAAGGACTATATGACAACATTTCTCATGAACCTCTATTTTGTGTTTATGATGATGTTTTTGAGTATGTCGCTGTACTTTAAAACCATTGCACCTGTGTTTTCATGGTTTCAGTACTTAAGTATTCCACATTTTGGTTTTACGGCTTTGCAACATAATGAATTTTTGGGGCAAAACTTCTGTCCAGAACTCAATACAACAGAACACAGTGGTTGTCTCAACTATATAATATGTGCTGGTGAAGAATTCTTGACAATCCAGGGCATTGATCTCTCAGCTTGGGACTGTGGAAGAATCTTCTGGGTTTGACTTTAATGATGATTTTCTTCCTTCTAATTACCTTCCTTAAATTGGCATTTCTTAAAAAGCATTCCTAATGTTCATTTAATTATAAGTTA